CAGCCCCCGTGGGTGGGGTTTGGGGGGCATCATCCCCATGCCGTCCTGAGTGGGGGTGGAAATAACCCCGTCCAAACGCCCTGGGCAGGGACCAGAGGGGAAAAGCAGCAGGAGGAGTAACAGGGAGCGAGGATTTCTCCCTCCGCATGGAGGATGCTTTATGCCCATATGATTCAGCTTCACACCAGCGCAGCCCGGCTGGGGGGACCCCACGTCGAGTGGGCCGGGCAGCTGAGACCCTCGATCCGGTCTCGAGTGCCCCCTCGCTGCTGCCGGCGGCTGGATAAACCCTGGACCCTCCTGGTCTGGGTAAAGCCCAAACCCTCCACGGTCCAGTAAAACCCTGGACCCTCTTGCAGTCGGGGTGGCAGCACCAGGCACAGTAACTGTCCCCGGCTGCGTGGCACTGGTGGGGACCCTGCAAGGCCCAGCCCTCCATCAGACACCATTCTGGAGGGAAATCCCCCCTGCGTGAGCGTGGGTCACCCCTTTGCCACCTCTGACCCCAGCCGTGTTGGCTGTGGGGATGAGAGGGGACCCCAGGCTGCCCCAAAGGGCCCCACCAGCCTGGCCGTGCCCCCACGAGCCCTGCAGAGGCTTTGCCCCCACCCCAATAACCCCCCGGGCTGGAAAGAAGGCCTTGGGGGTGCAGTGTGGATCCAAACCCAGCTCAAAACCAGCCCTGGGAGGTGTCAAGCCCAGAGACCCAAGGGCTGAAACCCTTCCCTGGCCATCAGCACAGTGAGGCCAGCGGGGGGGCCGGGCACACGGGAGCCCTTCCCCGGAGCATCCCTGCCGTGGCCCTGCCGTGACCATGCCACGAGCCACGGCCTCCAGGGAGGTGACTCCCCATCCCCACATTTCTTGGGCAAAAAAATCCCGTTTTGAAAATAGGGACATCGCTGGCGCGGTCGGACGGGGCGTTCGAGTGCCCGGCTAAAATAACAGCGTCGGGATCTGCCCCCTTCCTCCCCATCGCCTTGGCGGGGCGGACTAGGAAGAATGCGAGTTGGCTATCCATCAGGGAGACAGAGCAACAGCCAGCCGAAGAAAGAGGGGCATTTTAGGAGGAAAGCCAGGGAAATTTGATCATTAAGAAATCCTCCTGGCTGTCTGGGGGAATTTAATTAAATTGCTGGAAAGGGCTGTAAGCACATCTGGATCCAATATGTGCAGCTTTGATTTTTTTCTTTCTTTCTTTCTTTTTTTTTTTTTTTTAGTTCACTCTTTTCCCCCCCCCCCCCGTTGGGGGGGGGGGGGGAATAAAAGGGAAATAGCAGAGCCACGGAGTATTGGTTCATCTGGGACTGGGATTCCTGGCAGGGAAAGAAAGAGAGGGAGAGAAAGAAAGAGCAAAAGAAAGAAGCAGAAACAGAGGGAATAAGAAAGCTGGGAGGAAAACCTTCACCAAGGGCCTGGCCGAGGTATTTTATAATGCCACCGATCACAGAGACAAGGAGCTAGGAGGGAACGGGGGGCGAGGGGGAGCTGTGACAGCTAGAGGAGAGAGGAGGAGGAGAGGAGCTAGCCCAGGGCATGCTGCGCTTTTGGGGTCTGGC